TACTATTACGAGTTTTTCAAAATTAACCTATAAAGACAAATACTCATATAATATTATGATTTCATATACAAATGAAAAAGAATGACAATTTTCCTTTTTTACCTGCTTACTGGAACCCTTGGGGGTCCATAAGGATATTCCCCTACTCGTGAACCCAATATCCAGATTTATCAATTAACCTGGCCGTCCCCATACCTTATTCGGTAATGGGCGCCAAACACACCATCGTCTCGATACCCCGTCCGGTATAAAGATGAACCAGATTTTCCAAACACTTCTGGTATGAGACTTCTCAGCTCCGTCCAACTGAGGCAATATCCACAGTAAGGTTCCCCATGTACCGGGTCTATCCATCATTTCCTAAGGTACCCAGTAAGCCTTTCTTACATAGATTTAAAGCATAAATTGATTACCAGTTACATACCAATAACTTATATTTACATATCAATAGTAGGTCATGCAAATAGGCAATACGTACATTAGGAAACATAATTGAAACGTTTATCGCAAAACGAATCAATAAATGGGGGATAAACAGTGAGGTAAATCAAATAACTGAGAGAGCAATTAAGTCTATCAGTTTAATTCACATAATATAATAGTTAACATTTTAAGCAGTATAGGTAAAATAAACAGTAAACTAGGAAAAAATATGAACTAACTGGTTTTGCTTGCATTAGGGACCTGTAATTATTCTTAAGATTTTTAATTTTCACAAAACACATTATTATCGATTATTAAGCTTCAATTTAATGTAACAGAGAATAGGGTGAGGGATCCTTACCCGGATCGGTGTTTGAAATATCGTACTATCAACTACGCCTCCTGCCGATTCTCAAGATGCCTGAATTTTTTCTGTAGAAATCAAAACACTCATCATGTATCTAAAAATACCCCAAAAGACCAAAATATGTGTTTTAAAATCTTTTCGACAAATTTTAGGATTCCGGCACGGCGGCGTCGCCGTACTCCGGCACGGTGGTTCGCCTCGGCCTGGTCAGTTTCGACCTATTTAGGCCAAATTTGTCCGGTTTTACACGTAACCCTACAAAAAAAATACGTTAGGGAGCCTTTGTTGGCAAGAAAATGCAAAAAAAAAAAATGAAACCTACCGACCCGGGGAAGGGGGGTCTCTAAGTGCAGTGGCTCCACCGGTCCTCCTTCGCGACTAGGGTTCCTCTTTGCCTAACCTGCACCAGAAAAAGACGGTGAATACAGTGGTCAAAAAATCACGTGAAAAGGAAAACAGGAAGGGGGTCATCAAAGAGGGTTTTGAGTTTTAGCCGTGGCGACTCAGCCGAGCTTTGCCTGCAGTTTCTGGCTCACTCATCGGCTCTTTGGCTCTAATTTGGGCATAGGGAGACTCGGGATAAAATTTCGAGTAAGAAGGGCAAAAAATACATGTTTTCGCATCGGCAGTGGCTCTGGTGTGGTGATGACGGTGGTCGGCCTCCCTCTCTGGTGTCTGATTTTTTCCTCAGCCACCCTTCTTCTTCTTTTCTGGTCACCCCTCTGTCGAATAGGGTTTTGATTCCCTGCAAATAGGAGTTTAAATACTCTTCTCCATTCAATCCAGGTCGCTCGTTTGAGTCAACATGGAGCGAGGAGGACCGTTTGATAATTTCTCATTTAAGCTAATTGCATGGATGAATCTGGACCGTCCACCGCAATCAACCCAATCTGTCCAATTGTGTCTGAAGAAAAAATGCATCTGAGTCGTCCATACGTACGGGATGTGATCTGAACTGTCGGATCGCCAGGCACGCGGATCGCCTATATGGCCTCCCACGTGGTCTCGATGTCAGCATATTTGTCACATAGCGTACTGTGGTTCGTCGTGACTGCTGACTGAGCCGTCCCACATGGCCAAACTTTCCATTTTTGTGATTTTACCATGTTTTAAAATTTTTTTTCAAAAACACACATTTTATTCTCAATTTCACCCATTTTTCTCAAAATTGTTTTTAATTTCGTTCTTAATTCATTTTTTTTTCAAAAATTTAATAAAATTAAAATTAAAATAAATTTTTTGATTATTTATATATATTTTGTAAATGAAAAAAATTATCTCGAATCAAATTTTGGGTCTGGGTATTAAATAAGTATTTAAGTCTACCACTTTAATTAATGTATATATATTGTATATTATTTTTTAACGATCACATATCTAATAGTTATTAGAATAAATTATTTTAATTAATAACATTTTAATTTATTTTTATAAAAAATGTGGATATTTTTATTTATTGTATATTTCAGTTAATGTTATTTTAATTTATATAGAGTTACAATTATATAAATTAATAATAGAAAAACAAGAATAGGTACTAACTTATATAATTTATATCCAATAAGCATACTTTTTTACAATTTTAATTGAAAATTTTTTATATTTAATTTATTTAAAAAAAATTTTAAAAAAAAAGTAGAACAAACATATTTAATATAATTATATTAATTATATATTTCAACAAATAAAAACACACATATGTCGAAAAACTAATTTACATATATTAATAACTTAACTAAGTATTTGGCTCATCTAATATCTAAGAATTTATAAGTTACGGAGTCTATAAATTTTTTAACAATATAGAAATAAGAATATACAAATTAACATGTCTTTTTACAATAAGTTATTGAAGTGTTTGTTAAATGAAGGCATAATTTTTAGTATCTTAATTATTAGAAGCTGACTTTGTGTATAATTATATAATATTCTTTTAGTAGAATGTAATATATATATATATATATATATTTGTGTTGGGTAAGAATCAAAATTTTAATCTCTCATTTAAATAAAAATATTAGATTATAATCGTATATTATCCAAATAAAAAAAGTACTTGGCCCTTCTGTTTTGTTGCTGATATTTGAGATAATAAGCATTGAAAAAAATATAATTTCATTGTGTTTAAAAGAAACTCTAGAAGATGAAGCATTTTATATTCTTCATATTGATTCCTTTTAGAAAGATTATATCTTATTCGTTAAGACCCATTCACTCTTTTTATTGGCTTCAAAACGAAAACAAATTAATAGTTGTTTGCGTGAGTGTGTATGCATATAAAAGAATGAACATGTGACATACACTCGTTTAGTTTTCATTTAGTTTACCAACACATTAATGAAAGCTTATAAGCCATAAAATCCAAAAACAGGGTATCAAGGTTGAATCTAGAACTTGTGGTACTTCATATTTATCACCGTAGTTGTAAATCAGGTGGTGGACCTATTCGCATCATTCGTCATTGGGACCAAACAGTTTGTCCCAGAAATACATACACCATATATATATATATATATATATATATATATTAAAAGAGATTCTTTTGTTTGAATGGTAACAAATACATTTTTTTTCTTTTTCTCATTTATTCACTAAGATACAAATGGAAATGAAATTAACAGCCAAAGGCTAATAACCATAAAAGTAAAAGGGAGAAAAAAATAATAATAATAATAAATTGTGAGGAGAGTATTCGGCTCTCAACCTATTTACCCACAAAATTAAAATCTTCCCTCCCCATCCAACGTCTGCAGAGTTTTGCTTCGTTACTCCGCAACATTTGTTTCTTCTGCGTCACCCCAAAACCATAAGTAAGCAGATCATATCATATTTAATCAAACCATTACTAGAAAATGTTCCCCCTATAACATTAACAGCTTTGTAACTCACTTTTTTCACATACAGAAGACAAACAATTATCATAACACTGGCAAAACATAACTATATATCTTGATCTGGAAAAAGTATAGCTCTAGATTGACCTTCCATAGTAAAGTTTAGTGTCTGTTTACACTAACGCAGAATATAATAACTTCCTTTTACAACTGAATGTAATACATTTACTTATTCCACTGTTAGCATACAGTTTTCTATTTGTCCTCGACGGCACTTAAATGTGTATAAATATGAAACCTTGAGGGCACTGTAGATGGACCCTAAAATTTGGGCAGACTATCAAATTTCATTTACTTCAAACACAAGTGTGCCTCTGGACTTATAGTTCGTGACAGAATAGGACACATCATATAAGGTAAATGGAGACAAAAGGAGCTGCACTTGGCAAAGTATATTTCCAGTTAGCATCAAGAATATACGCACCAAAATTATAGTCATCGCCCTTCAGAGGAATCAGCAATTTCTGCGGTGAACTCGCCAAATATGTGTGGGCATCCATCCCACTTTCCTTGCTCTCTCGATTCCCAATAGCCACCCACATACCGGAACGGTCCATCTTCACTTTCTCTCTGGAACCATCTGGGTTTCCACCCATTTTCTGTAATTTCCTTGACTGCACAAAAGAGAGAAAGTGTGATTAAAAAATATTCAATAAATGAAGATATAAGATCTAAAACTAAGCCCTTCTGGGAGGTAGAAGCTATTGCAGATGTCTAAACTTTTAGAACTAAATAGTTCCTATATATCTTCTCACATGCACCAGTTGCTTTAGCCACACTATATTCTTAAATTGTTAGTCAGTACTAGATTTAAATTCAATAAAAGAGCTTCATTTACATTCCAAGAGTTTCATTTGAAATGTCAATTCCAATAATAGCTTAAATTTCAGTTTAGATATTAAATTTATCCATTTGGAAGAAAGGAAAGCCAGTTGAAAAGAAAAGCCAGACTGATAATTTCCAGTATCTCCACTTGGATCATGATTGCATTATAATGGCAACACAAGATTCGGAGGACCTGCATGTGTCTACTCATCCTGGGTTCAGAGTAGTAAAATACCAAACACAAAGACATAAATACATCAATCAGGGACTAAAGGTGTCAACCATACCATTCTTTGCCTCCTCTCTAAACGTTGCTTCTCCGCATTTGCTTTCTCATATTCTCCATTCTCCAAGTGGCGCTGATCTGGTCTAAGTCTAGAGTCCGTCGGCGGGAGCTTCTCCTTAATCCGTGATCAAATACCCGGGATCAGACACAGCTATAAAAAACGATTAGACATGATGGGAGGAAAATAAATATGCATATGCAAAATTGATTTACCACATGATCTCTACCTGCAGTCCTTCTGTCAGCTCATTTAGAGTGATCGCAAATGACGTTAAGTTGTACCGGGTAAGATTAGGAGGAGGATTAGTCCTTTTCCACAACAAGGAGGCATTTGACGAGGGACTGCAATCCTTCGGTTTGCCATTCCCATCACCGTTTACGTAATACATGCTGTCATCCCATTTACCAAAAACAGTGGCAACCTTTTCCCCATAAACATCTTCAACAAATCCATGAACCTATAATGAATAGAACATTTGGCATTTATCACAATGGATGATACAGCTTATGAAATCGAAAGAAAGATATCAAGGCAGTCATACAGCATCTTGAAAGGTCAGAAGAATCTACCATTTCCTACGTGGCTAGAATGTATCTAATCTGGCTAAAAACAATGAGACTGGAGTTTCTATGAACATACTAACCTGGCGAGGATTTCTGTCAAGAATAGACTGCTCTTTGAACTTGAGTTTGCATGAATGCTGCCGATTACCCTGAATGTTCATTAAACCATGGTGGTCGCAGTACACTTTTCCAATGATAAGATTGTATATGGCAGTTGTAACCTTGAAAAAAATAAACACGCTAAATTATTTAGAACTTATAGAAGGATGCCAGAGGATTAAAAAAGGGAGCAAACAAATGAATAATATAGGGAACCCAATTAGTCTGGCACACCTTGCTCCACTGGAATATTTCTCCATCATCAAATTCTAGAGTCAGAACTCCAACAGGATCAAGTTGAATAGATCGGCCCCAAAATTTAGTACGGAGATTGCTGTCACCCCAAAATTTCCACCCTTTGCCTTCACAGTGGCAGGCAATGAGAGTTGGGTGGTGGCTAACCTGTTTAAGAAAAAGATATCATTCAAAGAAAAGCTTAAGATTCAAAGTAGTCGCAACATGGGCAGAACCATATGCATCCATGTTCAGTTGCTTACAGGTAAATATTCCAAAATCCACATAATGGACTCCAAAGATGCATTGTCGGTTGTCTGTTAGCAGTACACTTAGACAATTTCTGAAGAAAAACTTTCAATATTTATATATCTTATTGCCACTCAGACAAATTTAAACTAATAATTGGCTTACCATATAAATATCCCTCATAAAACTATTTTCCTGGAACCCTTGAACGCCCCCCAGCCCCGCAACCCCCGCCCCCCGTGAGATAAGAAAATCCCATATGCTTGAGGTTGATTTTGTGACTGACCAAAACCATAATTTTCTAGAGGTGCGAATGATGTAACATATGCCCTTTCGATTTCCACCATTTTAAAGATAGTAATAACAATTTTCCTTTTTCCCTTCCTATATTGAGAAAAAAAATCTTTCTGTTTCCTCGATCAAACTCCTGCTGAATACAGCTTGAATATCTCCTGCTTGTTGAACAGGAGAAGTGCTTAAGCATTATACTTTTCCACAATCTACATTCATAGAATTGCTGCATATATATTTGAGCATATTGCTTGATATGTTTATTGATGCAAGTTACAGACCTTCTCGGAGAAGAAACGAACTCCTTTGTCAGGATAGTCAGCTTCATATGTTTCTCCTAGTAAAGGATTGAAAGGTTTACAGTGACGACCTTCAGACGAAGCATACCCAGAAACCGCAAAAGCAGCAACATTTAGAACCCTAAGAAGGCTGTTACCCTGAAATCACGAGAGAAGCCACAGGGAGCAGGTTGTTAGGTTGAAGATTTAACATAAGAAAATTTGACGCTCAGTAAGTATTTACCATACAATCAGAGCATTCTGAATAGTGATGGTGAATCAAACACCCAACCATTCCCCAGCCCCCGCCCCCC